GAGCAAGGTAAGCGAGCGGGAGACTGAGGCAGGGTAGCCCGAGCGGGCCGGGGCACCAGCGTCGTGCGACCCCCTTTCCAGCGCAGCCAGCGGCCGATCAAATGTCACCCCGGGAAAGTGCGCTGTGGGCGGGGGCTGGGGCGAGGCCCGCGGCGCCGGCCGGGTGGGAAAGCTCTGCGAGCGCCCGGGAGTCCTGCTCCTCCCCCTGCGCCGAGAGGGACTGGCTGGCCGCCCCTCGGTCGCTCCTCGGTGACTCCAGCGTGGGGCCAAGGAAGCCCCAGTCGACTAGGTTCCCATGTAAATGACCCTCACCCCTTGGCTGCAGGAGCTTCTGAGGCACCTGCAGCGGGAGGTGGGCTAGAGGTCATGACCACCGCCAGGTGCGCCACGGCCGTGGGCATCTTCCTCCCGGGGGTCCGCAGTGCCCAGAATACTGCCCGGAAGCCTCAGAAGCGGCCCCCTGCCTCTCGTCTCTATAGTTGAGACACTTAATAGCTTCCCCTAATCTCACCTTTCACTTTTCCTTCCTATCCATTCCCGGCTGTATTGACCTACTATATTTCCATTGTGGAATTTTTTTTTTTTTTTCTGGTTGTAAACTTACGTAAGTTAGGTTAACCGACCAACGATTACAGCCATTGAAAAACACCTCTCCCAGCCCTTAACGAACCCAACTCCTATTAGTGCTCACCAAATCCAGCCCAAGAATTCAGGGAACCGGCAGTCCTTCCCAGGAGCTGACTGCACACATTCCTGTAAGATGCCTGATGGATTTTATACTTGTCAGTTTTACTGGCTGTATACTCCTTCTGTGCTTTTCCTGAAAAAATGATTGGATGGCATGTGTTTTGACTTCTCTCCCTCCACCGGGAAATAGAAAAAATAGGTAACAGAAGCACGCTTGTTTTCAACAACTAAAAAGTAAGCTTTGCCAACAGAATGCTCTTTATGTGAGGGATAGTCTTCTCTCTTCTTTACCACTTCACTGGATTATTGTCTGTGTTAATGTCTTCATGTTATATTGTCCTGCACTTTATGTTTGCGTGTGGATGTTTTTCCAGCTTATTTATGTCCAAAGCGTAACACGTCTAAGAATAATGAGGCCTTTCATTTGTTAGCTGCCTTTAGCTATAAAGCTGCAAATCTGTAGGCACCTGTATTCTGCCTGTAGTGATGCTAGCCTGCATCTTTCATTCATTTCAAGATGATGTGCGAGGTGATGCCGACAATCAGTGAAGCAGAAGGCCCTCCAGGAGGAAGTGGGAGCCATGGATCTGGCTCCCCTTCACAGCCAGATGCAGATTCACACTTTGAACAGTTGATGGTATCCATGCTAGAAGAAAGAGACCGTCTTTTGGATACACTGAGAGAGACTCAAGAAACGCTGGCGTTAACCCAGGGGAAATTACACGAGGTTGGTCATGAGAGAGATGCCTTGCAGAGACAGCTCAATACTGCACTTCCACAGGTATGATTGCTTTTAACCTGAGCTCTCCAGATTCTTTCCCCTAAATGTGTTTTTAAGGTGTCTTCTTTATGGGCAGTATTTTAGATGAGTATTTTGTGTAGCTAGTTGTGACATGATGGTTTCTGGTGTTTGTAAATCACAAAGTTCCTGGGGATTAAACTTCTTAGGGAGAACAAACTGTTGTACTTTAAAGTCATGTGAAAATACTTCATTACTCATTCCTATCTTTGGGAACTGCTTAGATTGGGAAAGTGCTCCAAAGTGTTTGAAAAAGGGCCGTGAAGCAACCAAGGTATGATGCTTTCGAGCCTATTGTCTTAAGCATTTTCTTGTTAGAAATATATTTCCCATGGATTGTATCTCTTGTATTCCCTGTATCCTAATGAAATTAATAGACAAGTAGGATTAATTTTATAGAAAAAGAAATATTTTTATTGTCCACTTTTATTCTAATGCCTGTGTTTTGTAAATCAGATTTGTGTTAGGGGATAAAAGAGTGGAGATCGATTCCTTAGAAACTTTCTCCTTGACAGATGAGAATTTTAAAGCTTAGAATAACTGAAGTTGTTTCTCTTAAGTATACTGTATTTGGGCCTGTGTTTTAAAGCCTTTTCTTAAGGAATTGAAAGAGGATTTAATGCTAGGTGAAGAGAGAAAGTGTTAAAACCATAAAAGCGTAAGATAAGTGACACAGAGCACTGTAGGAGATAAGTAGGTTACTTAGGTGTTTATGAGCTGTCTAGGTGCCGTTTTACTTATTCATAATAGGTGCCTTTATGGTGCATTCAGGTAGACCCGAATAAGCATACTCTCATGATGAAGCTGCAGCGATAAATTAGTAAATGAATAATTACTAGCCTTAATGCATTTCTTGGCCGTAGTCAATTCTCCTGAAAGATTGATAAGCCCAACATTTGGATTTCCTTCTTAGCAATAATTATTTGATGTTAGTACTATATGTTCCTTTTTTATTGGGTTACGAGAATCATTAAAGTTTTCCTCCTTCGAATCTTATAAAATTATACCAAGTTTACTTGGATCAGAGTCTCCTACCATAAGCAAGGTTGTTGCCCAACTTGTGCTTTACCCAGATTTTATTTATTTATAAAACTTTTCAGTCTTTTTTTTTTTTTTTTTGGTCTTTTAAGGGTTTTTTTTGTTGTTGTTGTTATTGAGTTTGTATTGTCATTTGAGGTATACAGACTGAAGTGTACATCAAATAGTTGTGTATTTTCTAGGGTAATTTTTGAAAAGAATGGACACAAAAGTACACATCAGGGAAGTAACTGGAGTTTTGTACAGTTACTCTCAGGCAGGGGAGGCTGTCACACTTGTTGGAGAGACGGTTGCTCAGTGATTTGTTTCTGGATACTGCTCAGTGTTGTAGCCAGGAAATCCCAGGTTAAGTGGATAATGTGATGATGCCATCGGTTCCCGTCACTACTTGAGCACCTGATTCCAGCCCTTGAGAAGCACGGGAACCATTAGGTAAACTTGTTTGGATCCTTTCCTTTCTTGGAACCTGGCTCATCTTTGGTGCTAATAGTGTGAGTCAGATAAGTGCACCTGTACTTCTGGCACATTTAGGCAAGTCAGTATATTTTTAAAAGTTAAGCTATAGGGGCCAGTAGGTGGTAGTTAAAGTGCTGGACTCCCACATGACCGACCATAGTTTGATTCCCAGACCTGGTGACTTGCTTTCTCACTTTCCCTCTCTTTCTCTCTGTCTTTGGTCAAATTAAAAAATAATAATAGGGACAGCAGTTGGCATAATGGTTATGTCACTGGACTCCCACGTAGTCAACTGCAGTTTGAGTCCCGGACCCAGTAGCTTAAACTCACACCGGGCGTGTGTGTGTGTGCCCAAGATCCCGAGAGGAGAATGGGGGACAAGGGATTGCAGTGTGGCCATCCCCCCTGGAGGGTGATTTCTCACTTTCTGTCTCTCTTTCTCTCTCTGTCGTTCTGGTGAGCACACATGCTGTATAGCAAAAACCTCTCCAATAAATAAGTAAATACATTCATTAATTAAGTTAAATACATAATTTTTTTAAAAGTTTAGCTGTAATGTACTCCAGAAAACTCCACAAGTCTTAAGTGTATTACTTCAGTGAAGTTTTAAAAAAAAAAAAATTGACAGATTCACATAACCACTACCCAGATCAGAAGATGGAGTATTGCCAGGCTTCCTAGAAATCCCCTCCTACCTACTTCTAGTAATCGCTTCCCAAACTAACCATGATCCTCCTTTCACCATTGATTACTTTTGCCTCCTCTTGACTTTATATATAAATGAGGTAAAATAATAGGTATATGTTGTTTCATTCCTCTTTAAAGTCTGTTTATTTCTTCCATGAGTGAGAGGGAGACAGAGACAGCACTCCCAACAGGGTCTTGACGCCGTGGTTGGACCCTCGTCAGCCCTGGATCATGGGTATGCATGTACCTGGTGTGCTCAGGGTGGTCTCTTGGTGTGAACTCAGAACTTTCCCATATGGATCAGTCTTGTAGAGTGCTGCACCACCGTTTGGCCCTTGCCTGGAGTTTTTAAAAAATCATGAGTGGGTATTAAAAATTTCTTACATGAGTTTTCTGCATCTTTTGAAATAGTCATTTAAGTTTTCAGTTATGTAGTGATTTAACTATATTTCTTAAAGAATTATTTTATTTTTCATGATCAATTTCTAATTTGACAGAGTGACAGAGGGAAAGTGAGAAAACAAGCTACCAGATCCAGGACTTGAACCACGTAGCCACATGGGAGTCTAACACCTTAACCACCACACCACCTGCTGGCCCAAATTTAAATGTTTTTATTTGCCATTCTAGAATAATTACAACCTGATCTTGCTATAGTCCCTTTTTACTGGATTATATTTGTTAATATTGGGCTTACTTATTTATTTTTGTTTGTTTTTGATATTTTTGTTTTTTACTATAAGGTACGTGCTTTCATCAGAGAGAGAGAGAGAGAGAGAGAGAGAGAGAGAGAGAAATCACCCCCCAGAGGGGATGGCCACACTGCAGTCCCTTCTCCATTCTCCTCTCAAGATTTTGAGAACACATGCCCAAGTGTGCAGTGTGTTTTTCAAGCTGCCAGGTCCGGGACTTGAACTGTGCATTCATCCATGTGGGATCCAGTTCCGTAAGCACCATGCCATGCCACCTGCTGGCCCAGGATTGTGTTTATATATATATCTATATAGCTATAGATATATCTATTTATATATCTCTATCTATCTATCTACCTACCTACCTATCTATGAGAGCGATTGGCCTATAATTTTAATTTCTTGTATTATCTTTGTTAGGTTTTGGTACCAAGGTAATGCTGGTTTCAGAAAATAAGATGGGAAGTGTTCCTTATTTTTCTATTCCCTTGAAGAGTTTCTGTGAATTTGGTATTTTCCTCTTTAAATATTTGAAGAATCTCATTGTCAACATCAGCTGGTATGGAGTTTTTTTTTTTTTTTTTTTTTTTTTAGAGATTTTCACTGTAGGGCGCGTGCGCTCACCAGACAGACAGAGAGAGACATAGGAAAGCGAGACGAGAAATCACCCCCCAGGGGGGTGGTCACGCCGCAAT